GGTTATTGGTGAGCCAGATTGATGTCCATAGTCTTCCAGTGACTATTTTTAACCACTCTTCAAATATGTCTGCAGGGATTTTTCTTGGTTACTCATAGTGGATTGCTCCTCCCAATGGAATGGTTACCTTGATGATTGTTTCCTAATTTCTTCTCCCAGGGTCTGCTCCTGCATTTTCCTATCATGACTATTCAACTCCATTATTCCTCGTTGATCACCTGCGAGGTCCAATCTCTGGTAGCCGTTAGTGATAATAATCAAAGATCTCTCAGTATATGTCTAGCCCTTTACATTTTTGTGGCTGGTTCGTGCAACCAAAGTCTCTCAGACTTTCCATGAGATTGGAGTTTTTGAGAAGAGGTAGATTTCGTATGAGGCCGATAGGATCCTGAGTCTTATTATTGTCTTTCTTGGCGTTCTTGGTGTTTGTGTATATTTCAAGCGGCGGAATATCATGGCTTGTTTTTCTGGTACTAAAACTGACTGGAACCTGTATAACCTGTTTTATGACTCCATGGTCAGACACTGGATTTCTACAGGTTATTTTTGTGTTCAAGCTTGCACGTGTCTAGTGAGCATATATTCTTGCACAATATAACCTATAATACAAATACTGTTCTGAAGTGGAATTGAACCAGTAACTTGCGAATGGTGACCTGGGAGCACACTCACTGCTTTATTGATCTACAAGTCTTTATTATTTGTTAATTTTATGAGAAAACCTTTTTTATAAGAAAAAGTCTTTAAAGAAAATATCTTATATATGCCTATCCTTTATTCTATCCTATATAAAGTATCATATATATTTATACTAATCTCATATTTACTAATTCTATTTTTCTTAAGTAAGCTCTATTCTATTGCATTTATTAATAGACTGTTATCTTGCTATTTACTTTTTGATGAATTGTAATCTAGATTAATTATAGATATTACAAATAATAATAAATCAATATTAAATATTATAAAGAAATAATTAAAAAATCTTTAAAAAAAGATAGAAATAATCAATAATCAACTATAATTAATTAAAAAAAAATAGAAAAAATTATTAAAAATTATTTAAAAAATATAAAAATATAAAATAATATGTATTTTAAAAAATAAAATAAAATAAAATATAATCTTATTAAAAAAGAAAAATTTAAAATAAATATTATAATTTAATAATAAAAAATTTACAAAAAAAATTATTTCAAAAGATAATAAACAGATTGATTTTTAATTTTTATTTTTAGTTCTAATTATATTATATAATTCAATTTTTATTGAAAAGTTTAGTAATTATTTATAATATTATAGATTTTTTATTTAATAATTAACTTATTATTATATCAAAGTACTTTAAATCAAATTTAAAGAACAATATTTTAGTTTTTTAAAGAATTAATATAAACTTTTATTTACTAGATTCATTATTAATAATTTATTGTTATAGATTATTTAAAAATTAAAAATTACTAAATGAATAATAAAAAAAAATAAATATTTTTTTATTTTTATTTAAACTTTAAAAGGGATTTTTTTTGTTATTGTCTATAATATTAAACAAGTCAATTCAATTCAATTTATCATTTAAGTGAATATCAGATTGAAATAACTTAATAAAAATTTAAAAACTTTAGCTTCTAATCAGAAAAACTTTTTATTACTATCATTAAAATATATAAATGTAATGAATAAAAATTGTTTTTTTTTTTAATACCCATGGTCAGGCCAGTACTGTGTGTTTATTAATCATTAAAAAAACTGATAAAGATACATAGGGCAATTGTATCATGACTAAACTAAAAGATTCGTATTGATACACTCCTCAATGGCTTTCAATTCTCAAAAGAGCTTCAGCCTCTAAATACAACCTTGGAAACAATATTTCACTCTGAATTAAGTTTTGAGTGAAGGCTCTCCTAACTTATCCATCATTGTCAGCAGGTTGTCACTGCTTATTATCCTCCAAGGAACTGATTTTGAGAAACTACAAAAGGGAAAGAGAAAAAGAAAAGGAAAGGGAATATCTAAAAATGCACAATTGTGCTACATGAAAATAAAAAAAGAAAAAGAAAAAATAAAAGTGCTACATGCCCTCTAAAGAACCTTTGCTAGAAACCTCTTCTCATTAAAGTCAACCCTTTTAGTATATCCTTTTTCTTCCTAACTGTCTGAGAAACTTATTCATCCATGTTCTTGATTATTTTCTTGCGACCATCTGAGGTACTTATTGTCTACTCAGATCCAGTGTCTTATTCAATGCTTCCTTTTTTTTATCTTAATTTTGTATCCATCTGCATGAAAGAAGATGACTAATAGTGGATCCCAGGTTTTTATATGGCTTTTCAGTCTTGTTGTATAACTCCTGATATCTTCCAGCAGCTACACCTAGTTAAAGGAATTTTACTGATGTATATCTTTTATTACCTAAAAAGCTAGATTTCCCAACAATCTTTTTACCTTATAATGGTAGGAGGGTCTGCAAAGTATGGGGATCCTCGTCGATTGTGATATCATTACACAACATCTGGGAAAATGCATTTTCAATCCTAGAAAAGGGTAGTGTTTTACATTTCTTTGCTTTTTAGTTTTACAGCCTGACCGGGATAAGGAAATAATCTTCTTCGCGTACTTTGCCTGACTGGGATGATAAGAAGTTGAAGACCTTAGCTTGAACAAATAACCACCTTTTCACCATCTAGGGAATTTAGTGCCTATTATAATGGTTTCATGATTTCTTTGCTTCAGTTAAACTTTATTTGGAGGAGTGGAGGAGTTCGTATTCTTGATTTCTCTTTCAATTATCAATGATGTCATTGGAACACGTGAAGTGATCAATAGGAGCTTATTTATATTCAGCTACTAATGTGTTTCGTGTCAACCAATCAGATGCCAGGTGATGTTATACTATCAAAAATTCAGGGTCAAACTGAGATAGGCAAAATCCCCTAAAAAAACTGTAAAAAATAGTAAACACTTTAAGATAGTATAAGACAATATGTGAAAAAATGGAAAATAAGCCTTTCCCTGTCAACAGAACCTCTATATCTTGTCGCTTCCAGCTCTGTAAGATGACATTCCACTTGTCAGTCCTTTTACTTCCTAGAACCTTTTTGCCCTTAGTAGAGGAAGTGCATACTTGAGTCTTTTCAGGCCACTAGAAGCTCAAGTTTTTATTCAAAGAAGTTTATAAACAAGTAGAGGAGGATAAGAGAGATACATGAAGACAAGCTTCAAATTGTTTTAATGAAATTGTAAAGACTTTATTAGCAAAGAAGTATAAAACTTCTTGCAAACATCTTTTTTGTATGTGGTTAAAGGATCAGTAGAAAGAGTTTTGTAATAAATAAAACTTGTTTATATTTTATAAATTAATATATTTTATATTGATCAATTATTTTTTATAAGAATTTATGCTATCCAAAATTTAAAATCAAATTAAGTAGGTAAAATTCCTTAGAAAACCATAAAAATAAAAAATTTAAGAGGATCAAAATAATCAGAAAGAAAAAAAAATAAGCTTTTTTATTATTAGAAAATCTCTATAATTTTTTACATTAAAAATTAAAATAATTTTCAAGTACTTTATAATCAGTTTCTTTTTTTTTTGAAAAATTTTTTTCTATTGATATCAAAAGTATTACTTGACTTTTCTTGACTATTAGAAGTCAAGTTTTTGAGTAAAATAATTTGAAACAAGAAAAGAAGAATAAGAATAACTCTTGAAGTTATATTTTAAGTTTTTTAATAAAAGTATTGAACTTTTTTAATAAAAGAAAACTTCTTGTAAACATTTTTTTTGTAAGTAGTTCATTAGATTTTTAATTTATTACATTATTTTATTTAAAAAATATATATTATAAATAAATTACTATATATATATTTTTAATTGACAAAAAAAAAACTCTTTTTATTAATTCTTTGATTAAATATAAAAAAGCTATTTGCAAAAAGCTTCATTACTTCTTTGCTAATAATATTTTAATACTTTTTTTAAAATAACTTGAAGAGTATTTTCAAGAATTGTTTTTATTTTTCCTTACTTGTTTATAATTATTTTTGCCCAAAAACTTGATTTTTGATAGTTAAGAACAAATCAAGTAACATCTTTAATATCAATAGCAAATAAAATTTTCAAAGAAAAAAAAATCAACTTTGAAGTATCTGGAAGCTTTTTAATCTTTGAAACATGTCATATAAATGTTTTTTTATGGTGTAAGGACTTATTTTTTCCCTTACTAGCTGTCATGTTATGAAAAATCTATAATTATTGTAGATCTCTAATCAATTTCTAAATAAAAGACAAGCATGGCATGATTGCGGGCTAAAAAAAATTTTTTTGATTGTCAAAAAAAAATATTAAAAAAAGTCAATATGTCTATCACGTTACACTGTCTCGTCAAAGGAACTGCACTCGCGAACGCTTTCTCTGTTAAAATTAGTAGGGACGAGACTATTAGTGAGCTCAGAAAAGCCATTAAAGCAGAAAACCACAAAACTTTCCGCGGTGTAGATTCTAACAAACTCAAGCTATGGAAGGTACAAATCCCTGGCGATCGCGACGATCAATTAAGAAATCTAATACTCCTGGATAGTGACGAGCTGTTGCCAATAAGGAAGATTTCGAAATATTTCCTAGAATCACCCCTCAAAAAACACATCCATGTCATTGTAAAGTCGCCGCGTAAGTGTCTGATACAGTCTATCATTTCCTTTTTAAGATTAACACATGTTCGTTTCCAGTTCTCAGCTTGGAAGAAGCATTAACATGTATCCCACCATCCATAACATACTCTCCTGACTGTGTTACATCGAAGACTACTAAAAAGGTTAATGGTGACCCGCCAGAAAGCGTAAAGCTTTGGGACGGCTTTTTCGAGGAAGTGAATCGATTTCGTTTCGACCATCAACCAAGATTCGAGAGGCCGAGATTTTATGAATTTAACGTAGTCGATGAAGAGGATGTTCGTAATATTATAAAAGTCAATATTTGTCAGATATTGAATAAACTTATGGGTCCAGATTTCGTATATTCAAGGCTACCAACTCATACTCCTGGCGTACCGGATTTCAATTGCCATCTCGTGGATTCATTGGTCTTAGTGAGTGAGGTAAAAAGAAAGCATGTTTTAGAAGATATGGGCGAACAGACATTTCCCGAGTTTTATCGGACAAGTAAAGGCAAGGATGCAATTCAACAAATCTACAATTATAGGGGAGGAAATGAACTTAGATATGGTATTCTCACCACCTATGATAATCACTGGTTTCTACGCCGAGAACATACAGAGCTCTGGATCTCAAAAACCCTTCCACTTCAATCTGAATCTCCACCTATTCTCAAGGCATATGCTTATATAACTCGACAAGCGAAAGAGAATCCCAAGTCTTCTCAACCTCAAGTATTAGTGCAGGCTCATAGCGACAATAATTCGCGTACCCTTCGGTCACACTCCTTCAGATCCTCATTAAATAATCAGGCTTCCAGCACATTGACATATCATCAACTGCCTTCAGACACTTTTGCTAAACAATCAAATTATAGCTTTGCGGACTTCAAGTTTAAGAGCATACTAGGTGAAGGACGAAGTGGAAAAACTCTCCTATGCGAGTTTCGTGGTGATACAATTGCTTTGAAGAGTACTGACTTATCGAAGGCCCCATCGTATGTCCTAGAAGAAATGCAAAAAGAAGTCGAGATTTACAAAGACCTTGCAGATATTCAAGGCAAATATATACCAAAGTTGGTCTGTTACGGTTATTACGGGGGAGGTATGAGTTTCGTTATCGGCTTGACCATTGTCGGTACTATGTTGAGCGAGCATAAAATAACGAATCGGCAAAGGTCGAGGGCCATTAAGGGATTAGAAGCGATTCACAAGCATGGTATCCTCCACAATGATATTCGGAAGGAAAACATCTTAATTAACAACAACGGTGACATATACCTGATTGACTTCGGGATTTCAAGTCGGGAGGATATAAAGAAGAGAAAGATTTTCGAGGAGGAACAGCTCGAATTATATCAATTGCTAGATAGATACCGTATACTATGTAAGAATTTATTATTTCTCAAATTCGTATTTCTTGTGATCTTTATACTTGACAATCTTATCCTATGGAAATTGATTTCATTCAGAGAAAAGATCCAGCTACAGATGTCGTAACTACAAAATACAAAATTAAACGATTGGTAATTTCAGCAGCCACAGTGGATCCGGGTGCAAATTTCTCAATTATGTCCAAAGATATAGCCAAACGATTAAGATTAGTAACTGATACAAATAAAAACATGACATTAGGTGCATTGCTATTACTGTATACCTACAGAGTCACTCTGAACTACTCGAAATGTACCAATAAACTTTATTCCCAGTTATACTATATACTCTGATTTTGCAATTGTTGAATACCACAAACCAATGATAATTTTACCTAATACATTACTTGACAATATTTACTTGCATCGAAACGTGAGTTAAAAACTGATAATGCAATGGTAAGGAGTATTTCATCCCGATTAATATGCATAAGGTTTGGAACAAGCTTGAAGTGAACCGTGCGTCTATTTTCAAGATAGTAAGTCATCTATACGGGATCAAATTTTACAGGAGGTGGATAGGGATAAAGATGACAATGTATCATTCGATGAGTGGTGTGCACCTGCGAGTTTTAGTTTAGATTCTAATGATTCGACTTTAAAAAAAAACGCATGAGCTATGAGGAGCTGGAAAAATCGCTATATGACGTCTCAAACCCAATGTTAAATTAATGAGACTCAATAAAAAATTGCGGATTAATAAGAATGAATTCGAAGACTCAAATGAAAAGAATATCAATATCGACCTACGGAGTGAGGATGTTATCGCATCTATAGAAAGAGCAAAGATAAATTGGTTGAAATTTAAAATTCTCTCTGGTTCGCGTTCGGCTTCTTCCGTTTCTTTGCGATTCTGCTCAATTAAAGCATATACTGTATGTTAGTCATATCTTCTGTTTTTTTTGTTGGTTTATGAATCGTAGATTCCCTTCTAACGGGCTTGGTCGTATCGACCCCACCAATGACATTAGATGAGCAGAAATTCTAACAGACTTAGATCTCGGTTTTTTATTCTTAACCTGCTTATCAGAATCTAGATGTAAAGTATCTTCATTGATTTGATGCGCTAGAAGCACTGAGCTCGGCTTATTGGATTTTTTAGCTACGTATATCAACCAAGTTGAGCGCGATCCAGGTATAGATAAATTCTGACTTATAGGTGCCATTGAATACTTCTTCCTCCCTCCAAATTTTATAAAAACAGCTATTTTTCATAGGATAATTCTCTTAAATTTTTTGATATTAGCTTTGGGTTTCACATCCATAATGAATTCATAATATACTGAAGATAACGGCAACGCATCAGATCGCACACATTTAGCCATGCTATTTTTAAAAGTATTTATACGAGTAATATGTGTAATACTAATATTCTATAATTATACGAGTAGTATACATACAGTAAATAAACATAGTATGTATAATACATATATTGGGATTTGTTTGTAATTTTTTACTATATTATTATTTAATATGATCCACCGTATGTAAGGTCTTGAAAAAAAAACACATCAAATTCTTCTAAATTGCGGGATAAGTATGAAAAGCAAGAAAAAGAATTTAATCGGAAAGAAAATAATGGATCAGGATAGAAATAAGTGAAGTAAAAAACCAGGAGTTATTAAACTTGCAGTTTGGAAATGCTAGCAAAGCTATTTCTCTTGCTAATTCTAAATCTGAGATTGACATAAAACCCAAGGAAATTACAACACTTCGGTCTATTAAAAAAGATCAGAAGGTAGATTAACATCATCTAAGAATGACACAGTTTCAACCCAGTAGATTAACATCAGCTCAGAATGATACAATTTCAACCCAGGAAGAGATATTAAAAAAAGAATCTGTGATCACATCTATCAAGTCAGAATTGGCAAATTTAAAGGATGAATTAATTTTGGAAGTTGGTGAGAGCTTGAGTGTCAGAAACCGGAGGCTATATCGAAACCCGGGATTGGTAGAAATGTCGCAAAAAAATTCGCAAAGCGAGGAACAAAGTTCCATAACCAAGTCTAACTATGCACAGTATCTGCAGTTAGTGAACCTAATAAAAATCTCAGTAAATATTTTGTACGCAGAAAAAATATGGAAGAAGCCGAATGAATCGATGGCAATATCTCGACATATGCCAATTATGAGATTATCAAAAAATGGTACCAATATCAACCCTAAGGTAAGTGATGAAACTAGCATTAGCGAACCCAGAAAGGATAATAATATGCTAAATACATAAAACCTAATGTATCACAGATTATATCTGAAAATGTAACTTTGCAACAGGATAATAATATATCTTAATTGACTGAATCGATTTTAGTGGGAGGAATAGAAGCAATCTCAGCTGTGGCAATTACTTTAATGTCACCACTATCGACATATATTTTTCTTACCTTGTTGATAAGATACCACGATAATTTGAAATAATAATAAAAAGTAGGAATAGTGGGTTCAGTATATAAGCACTCTAAGACTAATTCATTTGGAAAGATGGTTTTTGACGTTTAAGAATGAAAAGGTATCGTTTTAAACTCATTCAAACCTATCGCCTTAGATTTGGTGTGATTGATACGAATGTACAAATCAACACCCGACTCGTCGATTGCTCCGTGACTATAAGTATACGTATTATGTATATTACAGTTTTTAAAAATATAAGCGCGTGACGTCATCCAATAGCGTGTTACCATAATTAGACGCATTATTTACATATATAAACGGCACCTATTTTCAAAATAAGTTTTTCTAGACCTCAACTCTTGTATTATTATGGATTTTCCTTAACTTACGCAAAATTTTACGGTAATATAAGAAAAGGTTTTGGTCATTTATTTATCTGCGAAGCTTCATCCTTTCTTTCACACAAAAATCAAATCTGTGAATTTATACTTTTATTCGAAAGTTCTCAATAAACCGTGTGTAAAATGTACTATTTATAAATTTTATATTTATACTAGTAATAATACAAGGTGGTTATAACGAGGGCAATTTGTATATACTATCGATTCTCTTTTTTTTTTTTTTTGAAAAAAAAAAAAAGGTCAAGAAAAGAAAAAAAGGAGGGTGCGAGAAATAGAGGGAGGCAGTCGACATAAATGAAACATAAGATAAAATGGAATATGGATGAAGCTTCGCATGAAATTCCTACTTTCTTTTTTTTTTTTTTTGATTATTTTATTTTTCATTTTATTTTTCTTTCTTTCGTTTTCTTATTTTTTAATTTAAATTTTCTCATTTTATTGAGAAAACAAACTGCGAGTACGCTTAGATTTTAACGGTTAATACATGTATAAATAAACCACCAGTTAAATTAGATATGCAGTATTTATCAATAAAAAGTACAAATCAATAACATAAATGCGCGAGAATATATACAGTATTTATGCCGAATATATTATATAATAATGCCATTGTCCGGACCTATTAAACCGCTTTTGTTTTATTTTTCGTAGTTCCGATTCCATTTTTGTAACCGTGCAACCTCTTTTTGTCCATTGATATCTCCATCTTCAGCTGATTTGAGATACCACTCGAATGGTTTCTTTTCATCTTTTTTAGTTCCAAGTCCAATTTGGTAACACCATCCAAAATTATTTTGTCCATTCGTATTTCCACCTTCAGCTGATTTGAGATACCATTCGAATGCCTTCTTTTCATCTTTTGTAGTTCCAAATCCAATTGGTAACACTTTCCATGATTATTTTGTCCATTCGTATTTCTACCTTCAGCTGATTTGAGATACCACTCGAATGCTTTCTTTTTATCTTTCGTAGTTCCAATCCCTTTTTCGTAACACTTTCCAAGATTATTTTGTCCATTCGTATTCTCACCTTCAGCTGATTTGAGATACCACTCGAATGCTTTCTTTTTATCTTTCATAATTCCAATTCCTTTTTGATAACAGACTCCAAGATTATTTTGTCCACCCGTATTTCCACCTTCAGCTGATTTGCGATACCACTTGAATGCTTTCTTTTCATCTTTTATAGTTCCAAATCCATTTGCGTAACACCATCCAAGGTTAGATTGTCACAACGTATTTCCACCTTCAGCTGATTTTAGGTACCACTCGAATGCTTTCTTTTCATCTCGAGTAGTTCCAATTACATTCGTGTAACACCATCCAAGGTAATTCTGTCCATAAGTATTTCCACGTTCCGCTGATTTCTGATAACACTGAAACGCCTTGTCGTAATCTGAAGAGGTTCCGATTGCATACTGACAAATAACTCAGTGATTAAGCTATTATTCGAATCTTCCTGGCAACTAATTAATAAGCTAAAAATATGAGACGATGTCATCTTATTGTTCTCAGTAAATTCATTGATGTTTTTTGTTAATTCCGAGACGGAATAAATGAGTCACTTGTTTAACTTTTCAGTAATAAACTGGTTTAGATCATTCAACAAAGCTTCCGAATTCTGATTTTCTATTTCTCCAATAAGATCACTGCTTATTATATAATTCCTTTCTGTACTGGAATTTTCTCCTTCGCTAAGCTTAATTAATATGTTGCAATTCTTTTGAGAGTTCTACCATGGGTGTGTCTGGTACGGTTGTCGTATCCAAGGAGTTGAACGACTCCTTAACCTGAATGATTTCTGGCCTCTTATTTGGATTTTCATCCCAACAAGCTAATGAAGTTAAATGATTAATTATCTAAACGTTATAGTTATTTTTGTGAAAATACATATGAACAAACCTTCATAAATATTGACATATTCCAAGGGCGTTCCTTCTACTTTAGCTTCTCTACGACCCGATAAGATTTGAAAAGCTAGCTCGAATCCATAATCCTCAAAGTAGAAGGGTGGATGTCCGCTTGTAATCTCCCAAAGTAAAACACCCAATCTATAAATATCGGATTTTTTAGTTTTTTGGGATAGCCTTTGTCATCTTTTTTAAAACATTGCGGGTCAATATATGCTGTGGCCCCAATAAGTTGATGTTTAGATTGAGTATTCGACGCATCCCCTATTTGTTTGGATAGACCAAAATCGGCAAGTTTAACGTTTCCTCGATAGGTAAGAATATTACCAAGATGCTAAGTAATTTTTAAAATAAATATGTTACATTTACAACATGGCATAGGAATATAAATTTCAAATATTTATCAAATCTCTATGGATAATGTCTCGCTCACGTAATTTGATGTGCTATACGTAATTTATCCTCCCACTTTAATATTTTAAAGTTCTTATCAAAATATTCCCTCAAAGTTCCATCAGTGTATTCAATTATCATCAGATATTCCGGTTTTTGTGAATCTAATATAGTTAAATTCTATCAGATTTCATATTTCTACGATGTAAAAAATATGATCGAAATTATACCTTTCTGAGAAATGCCATAAAATCTCAAAAAATTTTCATCAAAGTCAACATCTTTATGCAATTTAAGCTATATAAATAATGATATACCGCATATTTAAGCTATGAATATCAGTAATTTGGTACAATATTAATATTACCTCGTTAATTAATGCCTTTGGCTGTATTTTCATTGCAAGCTTTAATTTTTTAATTTCTAATGTCTTCTTAATACTCTTTGAAAAAGCCTTATACACTTTCCCAAAGCTGCCCTCTCCTATATATTTCATATCTTCAAAGTCTTCATACTTGAATTTCCGTAATGCCAATTGGGCTAAAGAATTTTCGAGTTCGTCAATAAATGATATTTCTCACGATTAGATATTTTCTGATAAATGCTAATTTATGTGCAAATGTGGTACATATTGTCGTTATATTGACCAATCAAAATTCTAAATCACGTTACAATTTAATTTATATTTCAATAAAGTATTTGCTAGTACATTATTTTTATAAAAATTGATTTATTTTTTTTTCTCTTCCTTACACCAACGTAAACTTTATGATAAAAATAAGATCTAGGGACAACTGGGATGAATAATTATCCATGCTATTTAAAAATTTACAGATCAACAAATAGACTTATTTATGTTTTACATCTAGTGTAGACTATAACAAAGTTAAG